GGCTGTGGGTATAGACCCCTTTGGCTGACTCCACGCGCTCTGTCCGCACTGCGCTTCTTGGCACAGCTGGCCAAAGTGTCCAGGGTTTGCTGATGGAAATGCTCAGAACGACACATGGCTGAATTCACGCCCTTTATTAATAAAATGCCCCCAAATGCTTGAACAACCATGTTTTAGTACGTCTTTGGACAGGACATTCACAACATGTGAATCCAACTCAGCAATGTTTTGTTAGTTATTTCCCTTCTTTTCTTTACGAGATGGGAAACTCCTACAATTAAGACAATGATATGTTATTGAGCGTGGGATGTATTATGGGACTAGCATTCACTGATTTATACTGGTATATACTGTGCTAAGTTTAAGTGTCATAACCTAAGGCATTAACTAATACAACCCGAAGATGGAATCTTACTGTGTCTGTGTTACAGTTTCCACATTTATAAACTAGACAACGTTTTAATTGAAGTGCATTAGAGCATGCAGCAAAAAGCTATGCTTAAATCCTAGACCAAAGGCCAGTATTAGTTTATTAGTTTGCCAGGCTAGGTATCTTTTATTTCTATCAACGGGAYAGATCCTGAAGCTACTGTATACATTATGGAGTGCATGTACTGTAATGACTGTCTGTTTTCAACAGGTCTTAGTTTAAACAAGTCAGTACAAGTAGACAAGCAGTGTTTTAGGTCGCTGCTGGTGCCACAGCACCAAAACAAAGGAAAAGACAAAAGACCCACTCAGCTATCAAAGGTATGAAAGATCTAGATTCAGTCTCTTGTTAAACTCTCAATTAAGCTGTATGTTATTCTTTCAATACTATTCACCTAATAGTCCAATTTGTCATGCTACCTTTGTATGATTTGCATTTTGTTTGAATATAATTATTGCAAATGTTATAGAAAAATACGTAGAACAGAACYTGTCATACAAAATAAGAGCATAATAGTAATAAAAATTAATAATCTTTTTTGTATGCCACTATGTGCCTTTAAAACTACTGAACAAATATTTTTCCTGTAATTTWACATTTATTTATCAATTAAGGAGGAAAAGTGTTCAGAAGATAAAAATCAAAAAGATAAAGCYAAMGGATCACATGCAGATGCCCGATGTAGAGCAGAAAAGCAAACAACCAGGAAAAGCCCCAAGCTGGAGGCTCTGAGTAGAACATGCAGAGGTATAGTTTAACAGTTTGTTTTTCTCAGAATTATTTTTCTTGTGAAAAGTTGAATGAACTGCTGATACTGATATTTATATGGGTCTGATGGCCATTACTGGCATGTGACAGACAGCAGCCAGCTGAAGGACAAAATCAGGAGTCGCTGAAATGCAGCTGCTGGACACAGAAGTGAAGCAGGTTGTTGAGGTCAGTTGCTAGATGAGCCGCAGAGCGAGGGATCTGCAGTGGCTTGACTTCCACATTCTGTGCTGGTCCTTTTCAGCTCGCAGCCTTCCCAGAGCGCCTCCTTCAGCCCCTCCGGATAACTGAAGTCAGCATTTGTCTTTGAAATTCCCTTTCTAAGCTGACAGAAAGCACAGCTCTGCCTGTGCAACTCTCTCCTCAGTTCCTTGCCAGACTCTCTTTAGGTGTTCTAGTTGCTGCTATCAGACTTACTTAATGAAGTCTTATTTGTTATTTTGTTTTTTTTTTTCCACTGTTATAACTACATACTTATCCTTTAATTTTGGACTTTTCTCCTCATTTTGGAGGTGCTCTGTGATTCTCTACAAAACTGCCGAACCCGTTACAGTTTTTCCCCTCCAACAGACCAGTGTTTTACTGTAGCATTGACTATACATAGATCTTTGTATTAAAAAGCAAAACCGACTCGCTAGTAGGTTAGAGAACTGCAGTATATTCTGCCCCATGTGAGAATAAAGCTATTTGTCAATTTAGGGAAAGGAAATCCTAGCTGTGTTCAAATTTCATTTAAAAGCAAAAAGCCGACAGTGTTTTAATTATTTGATGTGGTTTGCCTTTGGCTTTATACATGATTTTTCTGGCCTTGTAGTTAATCTTTAAGATATTGTGAGGTATACAATACTATTTTTAAACAATATTTGCATGTTTATTCATTAAATAAAACTAAACATAATGAAAAGATTAAAATAAAGAGACCTAGTTAGATTCAAAGACACAACGTTCATATTTAAATCTTGCCCCGTTTGCCTATATTTATTAGTAAATAGCACAGTTGTAATTTTCGAAGAGCCATAAACCACAACTTTGCTGTGAAATGAAAAAGAAAAGCTTTCTTTCCTCAATTTTTCATAATTGTCTAGGTTCTTAGAATCTAAAATCACAATATTTGATTTTAGAATTTTTAAGGGAAGGCAGACCGGTGATGGAAGAACATACATGTTTAGAATACATGAAACAAGAGGGAAAAAAGAGAGAAGAGCAAAAAAGGAGAGCTGAATTGCTTGAACAGGAGCTGAAAAAAATGCTGACAACTGAACAAATCCTTCTAGATGACATGCTAAAAAAAACCAAACAAGACAGAGATGCAGTGGAAGAATATGAACAAAATCCAGGCAAGCAGTTAACTAATAATAGAAAGGAAAACAGTAAATGTGTAACTCCTATGCAAAGAACCAAAACGCCCATTAGACTGAGAAAACAGTACGTATTCTCAGAAGCCACTGAGAATTTGCATCACGGGCTCCCTACATCAGGGGCAAAGTCCCGAGCAGGCAGCCKCAGACACGCGTTGCAGGAGGGCAGCGAAGCCGCTGAGTCCAAGGTGAAAAATGCCTTTGGGCTGTACGAGCCGTCCTTTGGTAAAGCGCCCCAGGGCAGGCAGGACAGCCTGGGGGAAGCGCAAGGCTGCTCTCATATGACATTCACTGAAAGGAAAAACAGCCTCATGAAAGAACTCTTTGGACCGAGCTGTGTTTTAAAAGGCAACCGTTCAGCTGGTACCATGAGAGAAGCAGGGAGAGRGAAATGAGAGGCCGCCCGGTTCCGTGGGCCGAGCGGCAGCACTGCGAGCTCGCGACGCGGACTGCGACCACCGAGGGATTCGTTATCAGCAACCCCACCGGTGAGCACAAAATAATGGCTGCCCTCAGTATTCAGGTAGATTTACTTGAATACAATTTRTCTTTAAACTTTTGAAATACTGAGCATTTTTAACTAGTACTGCAACATGTTTTACCTATGGATGGTTTTACCRTCAAAAAAACTATTAAAGGACACATGTACTGAATTTTTTGTTCAGTGAGTCTTTAAATATGATCTGTCATCAAACCAGTTGTTACAGAAAAACATTTTGAGGAAGATCATAGTGCATTTTACTAAGAGTGCTGTAACAGCACCTTTTGATTTATTTGCTAGCTCCTTCGGGAGAGAGACCCAGTTTCACAGTGCTCATCCTTTCACAGAATCACAGAATCCTTAAGGTTGGAAGGGACCTCCAGAGGTCATCTAGTCCAACCCCCTGCTCCAGCAGGGACACCCAGAGCACGGGGCACAGGGCGGCATCCAGGCGGGTTGGGAAGATCTCCAGAGAAGGAGACTCCACAGCCTCCCTGGGCAGCCTGTGCCAGGGCTCTGGCACCCTCACAGGGAAGAAGTTCCTCCYCACATGGAGATGGAACTGCCTGTGTTGCAGCTTGYACCMRTTGCTCCTTGTGCTGTCAGTGACCACCACCGAGAAGAGTTTGGCCCCTTCCTCCCTACATTCTCCCCTCAGGTACTTACACGTATTGATGAGATCTCCTCTCACTTTTCTCTAATCTCTTTCGATTAGTACCAAAAGTGCTAATTGGTAAATTATTTTTTTTCACTCCTGCAGTAGCCTGCAGAATTCACACAGAGTAAAATTAATTCAACATTACAGTGTTTTCACTAGAATTATAACACTCTCATGCTTCATTCTTTTCCACCGTTGGAACAGATCAAAGCAATTTGCCTGGTAACTTCYCCAGCTGACATCCAGAGATGAATGCACAAATGCCAACCATTGTTTTGGAGAAGTCAGGCATATCCAGCTCTCAAAAAGACCTTAAACCATCCTGTGTTTAAGGGTGTGTAAGTGAGGGTACRAGGATAACTTGTTTTGTGCACTTGCAGTAATTCATGAAACAACAAGAATTGGTTAAAAAGCAGTTAATAAAAACTATGCTTTYATTTAATAAATTTGAAGAATATTTAAAGAACAGATTCAAAAAGGTTTAAAGATGATTAAGATATTTTTGATCTGAACCTGCTTGCACTGCATTTCTCTTCAGAGTCTTAAGTATTTTTTCCTTGAAGTTGTGATTAAGCTGCAGAGTGAACWACTTTGAGCAGTCAGAAGAGTGGGTGTTTTTCCTCAATGAACCGTTAATATTTCTACAATGTGTTCGCTGAYGCTCCCAGGTTCACAGCAGACAAATACACATAATCCACCACCCAGGTCTGTACTGACTGCATGACCAAAAGCCCCTCTGCTTAGACAAATGTTTCACTAGAGCAGCCCACAGACCACCTATGTCATTACCCGATGCTCAAGGTACCTAAATAGTGGGTAGTGTTCTGAAGGTCTTAAATTTTTCTTGACCTCTTCACATGAAACTTATCAACCAAATACGTGACAGTATCATTAGCCATATCTTGAAATTCCAAAACACATCAGCATCATAGTTAAGTAATCCATCTTGAATACTTGGAAAATAAAAATTTAACTAGGAGGTCTGTTGATTCCAACTGTATCTCTTTAGAAAAAAAGAAAAACTGAAATTAACATTTTAAAAGCATGGATTACAAGAGCTGATACAATTGAAAGCTTTTATTTCATGAATAAAAACACAGTTATACATAGCAGACTCAATTCCTACATTTTTTTTCTTGTTGATACTTAATACATTTATTTTCATGCTGGCCCAATGTAATACCCAAGATAAAAACAAACTTTARTCCTTTTTTTTAAATTAACATTTAAGAAAAAAACATTTCATGCGCATATATACACACATACACAGACAAAACATATTGTGACCATTTGAAGTGATTTCTAAAGGTAACATTAATTACGGCGGGGCCTGAAGGCATCCCTGCAAGAACACGAACACAACTGGTGTGTTCCACTGCACCGAGCGGGAAGCCCCGGGGCCCAGCAGGAAACAGAAGGGTGTCCATTTCTACAGGAGTTGGGGATTTGTGGATCAAGAATTAATAAAACCACTGCTTTGTTTAATAGGACAACAGTGATAGGAGTTGCAAATACCGCTATACCATGGAAGATGCACTGCTCAACACGCATAGGTGGAATTCTGTCCTCCTTCAAACTGAAAATATTCATGGCTGTTTCCTGTAACTCAAGGTAGCAAGAAGGATGTGCTCGGCAATGGGTAGTTTTTACCTCTCCTCCTGTTGGTACAGCTGCTACCTTCCCTTGCTGCTTCAGGCATTCAAGTCACAAATTTGCCTTTTCTCATGATACGCTCCTCTGAGCTATCCAGAACTGTCAATTTATGTATCTATTGCAGCCCAAGGAATGGATTCTCTGAAGGAAGAACAGCACACTCTTCTACTCTATTCTTAACGTGAAGCTTGAGAAAGTGGTCAGACATTTCCTCCCAAAATATGGAAGGAAGTTTCAGTGAGAAGTTTCTTTCAATTTGAGAAGAAGGGAAAAAAGAATCACAGAAGGAAAGGTCAGTTTTCAGTAAAAGCAGGAAAAGAAGTTTTTAATGCCCTAACACAGGGCAGAGAAAGTAACCAACCCCCTCCTATTTGGCAACTGAGAGAATCTCAAGAGGCAGCAAGCTGACTGTGCATATTATATGAATCATGCATTTTCTTAGATTGTCCAAGAACACTCCAATTCTAGTGTTAAAAAAAAAAGCAAGAAGGTAATTCATTCTGTTTCACAATTACCCAACCTCTAATCCCATCTGTTACCAAATATAATCCCACCTTTTGGGTGAAGTGCTGTTATTATGCAGCAAAGAAGCAACAAAGCTCCCAGAACAATTCCTAATGCCAGTGTATTTCCAACTTAAAGGTAAAGAATCCAGTGTTTTTATGCCATGRCAAAGTTTTAAGATTATGCCATGAATCCCTTGTCAAAATAGTCAGAGGCTTTATGAACAACAGTGCTAGTTTTTAAAAACTGTTGATTCTGAATCTGGAAAACAAACTAAGGAAATATAAAAGAATATTGACAAATATACAAGTGAAGTAACAGAAATTAGCTCAGATTTGGTCTGTCATGAAAGATAACTGTTCCCCATTTTTTGACAGTTATAATGAAAACATAGTTTAGGATTCTATTCCTTCCTTCAGCTGAAAGGGTGAAGCAGGATAGCTACGACTTTATTGCAGACAACAAGCCAACACGTAATTCCAACACCACCTGAAAGAGACATAAAAGAGCATTAAATCATGGCATCAACAGCACTTAAGCTTTTTGAGAACAACTTTACAAGTTTCAGAAAGAACACTTAAAGAGTTATGAAGTCAAGGAGGGCTAAATATCTTTCTAGACACAAATATCTTGATGAAAGAAAAAAATATATAGAAAATATATATATTGAATATAACGAAAAATGCTTAAGCTGCTCAAGGTATGGGAAGTAACCAAATCCTCATGCTGGTAAAACTTAAATTCAGAGATTGAAGGGAGGTACTGAGCAAGTGGTTCCTTAAAAATTTAAGACCATTAAATCTGTACGTTCCTTTCCCCTTGCTCTGCACACAGCTGTATGTAAAAGCCCTGGAGATCTTCACTACTAAAGCAGATCCCTGGTACTGCTGTCTGTTTTAAACACTCCATTCAAATTAATCCAAACTAGCAGTGTAGTAATTTGTATCTGTGTGACAGAATACAGGTGTGTCCTGACTGTAATACAGCAGAGAATCTGAGGAACAAGGGAAAAAAAAAGATAAAGAGCAATAAATTTTTGAAGAGCACTGTTAGCTCTACAAGCAAAGTTCATGTCTATTAATGAAGCCAGGAAAAGATCCCTAAGTTATCAGGAAATATGTGGCAGTTTCCTTTTCAGTTATAAGGATCAAGAAGCTTTTAATGAGTTGTCACATAGTCGTGTAGACTGACTGTGCAAAACTGGAAAACAAAATAACAACTCCCCCTGAAAACACACATCAAAACTTTTCTGTTTTATGCTTATGCAGTAACACTCCTTTCAGAAATRACACAACAATAAAATACCCAGAGCACAGAGGTGAAGAAACCATCTTGTGACTTTTTCAWTGCTTTTCTGCTCTCAATTTCATTAGTTGGCAGAATTTTCAAAAGCAGTTCCGTTAATGCGTTTATCAACAAGGGCAATAAAAGAGATTTGAAGGCAAAGGAGGAGGTGAGGCTTTAAAACTAATAAAAGCTAATTAGATGGTAAAAAAGCAACGTATTTTAGAATTCCTTCTGAGAAAGGACCTACAAGTCTAACATGGAGAATTACCAGCTGTGCTATAGCTGAACAACAACTTTCAGTGCTACACTGTCCTATCATTCTGCCTGTCTGCTTACTGCATTAGCACAGAGCCATCATCCCGGTCACTCAGAAACATGGATCTGAAACCTGTTCATTTGTTAAACTGACCAAAAGAAAAGGATTTAATTCGGTGAAAACATAAAAGAAGCATGATGGGAAAAATGAGTGGAATTATATTTCTATAAAACTCGAGCTGTTTTTAAGAAACACAATATGAAGTTTTTACACATTTTTAAAYCTAATTCTACCATTTTCAGTGATTTTCTCAGTATAAAACTCTTTCTGATTTGAAATCTTCCCCAGGGCATATATTCTATATTAAGACTAAGTTGCTCTGTTTGAAAACAAACCCTGTACACATTGAAATAGCTAATCAGATGCTTGAAACTATGTTGTTACTTAAGAAATTTAATAATAATTTTTGATTATTGATTAAATAATAATAATCTTTTTATCATTATACTATATAATGTATTACTGATATCCTAATGTATTACTAGGTGACCCTGTGTGTGCAGACGGGTTGGACTARAYCTCTAAAGGTCCCTTTCAACCTTACAGATTCTATGATTAATATATTTCTATACTAATAGTATAGTTATTAAATTATAGTAGCTARTATTATTATATATAGCATAGCAATATAACTGTTATACTAATCTGCATTATAGTATACACTGTATTCTGGACACGTGTATTTGTCGCTGTGCGGGCGCATGAGCCCAGGGTCCGAGGCGATGGCAAGGTCCTTACCGGCCACCCCTGTAGGGAAGGCCACCAGGCGCTCCAGGGGAGCGAGCCACTTGCTTGGAAGCACCGTGACCGGCTCCGAATAGTACTTCCAGATCAGAGAGATCATCAGGGCAGCCTGCAAGGGAAACTTTTATTACTCTGGACAGCAATATACAAAAAACATTTGCACTGGCATTCTGAAGCAAATTCTAATTAAAGATAAGAGTTTATTTCTWACTTAGATTGCTCTCTAGCAACTTCTGAACATTTTAAGCCCTTAATATGACCTCAACTGCACACACAATTAAGAGGAATTTTCCAAAGCCGCCTACTTCTGAGACACAGCAGCATAGATAAAAACAGGAATACACATCATTGCATTCTTAGGACAGTTTTTAGCCATAATCCTAGCCAGCTAGCAATCCAACCCGCTTTTTTGATATCCAAAAGTTATCCTCAGGTCAACCACTGTCATCCGTGCTAGCAGAAAATTCATGGAATTTTTTGGCATCAAGTCTGAGCTACAGAGACAATCCAGTGAGGCCCTGGGGGGAAATGTGTGGCAGCTGAAAGTGGAGATTTGCATCCTAAGCAAAAGCACTATATTTTGCTTATTCCAAAAGATAAGCAAAACACAAATACACGTATCAGAATTTTCTTCTGCCCAGTGCCACTTATAAATGAAAAYGCCTAATGGAAGAGTTAAGGAAAAACTCATACCTTGTCATCTTAAAACCAGAGAAATAAGAGCTGAATTTAAACCTAAAACCCCTTTATTCAAAACTACCAGGCCCTGTCAGCAACATCTCCTTTCCTTTCTGTGTTTAAGAGTTTCAGCTTGGCATGTTCCACGTCATTACAACGTCAAATAGCTGTGTGACTGATCACTGCATAATATATGAAATGTAGAAGAAGTACTCTTAAACAGGATTTCTTTTAGGAAACTGTATACATAATAAAATAATTACTTACTTGCAAGATGTAGAATACAATATTTATAACCCACTTTATTTTGGCTAATTGAGCAGTTCGTGCTTTTACTGTTAAAAGAAAAAGATTACTCTGTATTACTTACAACAGTAAATGATATTTACATAAAATTTATAATTTATTAATATGTCACTCTTGAAATCAGCATATTACATGTAAACATCACACACCTGGTTAAAATCTGTTTTAAAACGAATCACAGATGCATCAGAATTGCCCCTCTGCAAAGAAGTGCTAGGTCCATTTCCTATGGAAGTTTCTCAGTTAATACTACCATGAAATATTTGAAACACTGATATCCTAGACAGAGAAATGTCACATATAATGGAGAACCCTGTTCCCAAATGAGAAGAGTCTCTGTGGCTACTACTTCAAGGACCTGCTTTAGAGAAAGCATAAAATAAGATTTTTCTCTTCCAAGGAGACAATGACTGCTGTAGCACTTTTTGCCTTATTTCATCCAGAAAGATGTTTAAAACCATTCACAAGATTATCCCTTCATTCAGTCACTCTTGGTGAGAATCAATACTATCAACTCTTCCCAGTGTCTGTTCTAGCACAGCACCACAGAGTAGTTCAAAGACATTCTCGAAAGACAACACATCTAGAGTGAAACAGTGGCCACAAGTTTTACAAAACAGTGTTACTAACTGCTGAGTAAACCACTTGCATCTAGTTTAACTGAAATTACTGGTTAATATTTCTGAAAACAATCCAAAGCATCAAATTGGTCTTTTATCCAAGCATAAGGGAAGCGGATCATCATCTACACCGTTCTGTGCGGAGGAGGCGGGCAAAGCAAGTGCCCTCGTGTCCTCCATATCTTGCTGGGATTGCTTAGTGAGTTTGCACAGAGACCACCATGCAAGCTCTGCTGCCAAAGGTTTACATTTGTTTTCTACMATGACAGGATGGATTCTACCACTGCAGAATGCTGATGGAGACAAAGCATTAGCTTTATCCTAACAGCAACGGGATATGGTCAGAGGAGCAGAACAGTAGCAAAGATTTCATCTGGTTACCTCGTAGATCAACGCTTTCTCTCTAGCCTCTTGCAGCACAACCAGTCCCAGCCAAGCAAAGCACCCTTTTGCAGTAGAGAGAGGCAGCCTTTCTTTCTTTTCCTAATGACAGRAAACTTCCATACTTACTCAGAACATCTAGATGTACTGAGTGGAGTGAAATACCTACCAAGAAACGGAGAACAAAAACTTGCCTGTTCCACAATTTTCGGATGAGCATCACTAAGGAACAGTGAAGCCCATAAAAATCCTTGGGAAAAGATTCACATATCTATAATCACACCATAACTAGTGTATGCAGAACTATGCACAGTGGAAAGACT